GAATGCTTCTTCACTATTATTGATTGTTGATGTTTCTTAAATCACATTTTAAAGCCCACAGATATCTATTTACCAAAAATAACTCATACACAAGCAAATAACTCTTTGCAATCACTGAACACAAAAAGGCAAAAACCACTTGTAATACCTTGCTCTCTGCAGCAACTCCCAATGCAATGGTCCAGTAGTCATGTTAAAGGCCCCGGGATAACATAACAAGTGAGCACCTGATGTCAAAGAACTTCACAACTGTCAAAGTTCGGTTTTGTCAAGAAAGAAACTCACTATATCTTGTGAAAAAGCAATTCCAGAGGTCAATTGAAGGAAACCAAAGACTATAATAATCAAGAAAAGGCCAACCTCTTGCTGCATAAATCATAGCTAGTTCCTGAAACCGAAGATCGTAGCAGATACCTACACCAATACGCCCTACTTCTGCATAAAACTCTTGATGGTTACTTTCTCGTAAAGAAAATTGTAATACTTTCGTAAGACTACAAATAGAATAGAAGTTTGTGTGTATGTGTGTGAGAGAGAAGAAAAGATCATAACCGCCTGATCATCACAAACTGTGCTGTTGAAATAAGAATCTTATATTGAAGGAAAATGACCATCAAACCTGTGTCTACAATGGTAGGACTCTGGCCAGCAGTCAAAGTCTTTGATTCAATGAAGGTAATCTTCCCAGGGATGTCAATATCAAAAAGATGTATCTGCAATCACATGTATATGCCAAGCCCTGGCTAGCTTAGTGACCGTTTAAATCTTCTTCAAGATATTACGATGCAAAATAAAGAATGTCATTCCGTGAATTTTAATGCATTATTCAAAATATGATCTGCTCAACCTTGTAGTTTGCTTTTTAAGCATCAGAATTGACTATGCGCTGGACAAAGTTGTTGGAAGAGACTGAAGCATAAGTTCAAGTTAAGCAATACTCTCATAGTCAATATCAATCATATTCTGGTCATCATGAAAACCCAATTGAAAGACATGGAATCATTTGAACCACAAAAGATTCATCAAGAACAAAGTCTCACAATATAAGGCAGATCCAAAATTTCTTCAGTAAAATAGGACTTATTTCAAGTATTATTTCCATATTTCTATGGTTCAATAATGTCTAAGTATGCACAATCAAATGTCAAAACATACCTTCCTGTGTTTAGCTTTAAGCTTTCCATCAGAACCGAAGATGCAACAAGTATTGTACAACTTATCCCTGACACGTTCTGGTATAGATCCACCAACTATGGTGATTTTAAGAAGACGAGCAACTTCAGAAAGCATGGCTGTTGAAGGAGATGCATCACCACCGGCATCAATATCTTCCGCGTAAACAGGGAAGGAATCATTTGAATATGGACTGTTCCATATTTCCTGACATAGGAAGAAATATTCATTCTTTGAAGCATAGCGCCAGTTTGATATTGTTGTGCTTAAAAAGAAAAAAAAAATCCTGTTCTGCAAGTAGCAGAAGCTCAAAGCGAAACCATTTAGCTGCTCAAAACGACCGTGAAAAGTAATTGGGTTCTGTGATAATCACTTTCATTTTACCAAACAGACTGCTTCAGAAAGTTGCTTTCTATACATCGTATTATGAAATAATTTAACCAAAAGCAGGTTTACCAAATGCGCGTTGTTACCGAAGTTCTCTTATAATCATTTTTACGAGCTGCAAAAGCAATCATAATGTCAATACTTTTCACTTAATAGACTAGTTGGAACC